GAAGCATGTTCCTCACTTCATACTAAAGCCATGTTCACGCAACTACTTATGTTGCCAAAACTTATGAAAAAAACCTCCCTGAGTGACACATGTTTTGCAGGCTTACTACTCTCGTGCAAGTGCTATATTGGCAGGAGATGCTCTTCCCACCAACATATTTACCACCACTCATTTAGGTGGTTTTATTACGTTGACAAGAAAGCTCTCTCTCCCTCCTCCCCAGCAAAGCATGGCTACACAGGTGATCTTACAACGGTGCAGCTGTACTGATGCTGGTACCACTGTGCGACGGTAAGCTTGTTAATGTAGACATAGCCTTAGCCCGTACATGTATCCCTCCTTATGTTGTGAAAATCAAAATTCATTCCCTGGCTGTTTTGTTTCTTCAAGAATAGATAGGAGGATGAGAATGTTCCACGTGTTTCACTGTGAGTGGGACACCTGCTCAAATACCCACCTTTCCTTTAGTTTGTAATGGCTGTAGATGTGATGAGGATTGTATAAAAACAGAGAAAGGATAAGATATGAATAAGGCTACAAGTACGTTATGGAGGTTGCACGGGTCTTGGAATCTGTGGCTTCTAGAGACCTCTGTGACGTTGGGGCCTGCAGCAGCCCAGGACCATAGGAGCAGGAGAGCTCAGCAGCTCCCAGCTGCCATGAGTGGCAGGGGAAATCCCCATGCAGTGAGAGGGGAGGGAATCCCCAGAGCACCCCAGCCACCAGTAGCAGCAGGGGACCCTGCAGGTCCTGGTAGCCAGTGGAGATGCCCATTCCCAGTTGCTGTAGGCACCATCCTACACCCCCTCCCCATGTTCAGCCCTGCAGGGCTGTGGGGAATTCCCCTCCTAGTCACTGCACAGAGGTGGACCTGGAGCTCCCTGCCACCGCATTCAGAGGGACAGGATGCTGGGCCCTTGTCCCTCCCCATTTTGTCAGGGATGTTTATAGTAAAAGTCACATGAATTTTTGTTTACTGCCCGTGACCTAGTCATGACAAAATTGTAGTCTTAGGTGTAGGTGTTGGGGCAATAAAACAGACTCTTTAGTCCCTACACATAGTAACTGGGGCTTTATTTTAAACAAAGTCCTCAGAGTGACTTTGCATACAACTTATCACAACCTGGGATGGCTAAACGCAGCCCAGCTGGCTAAGGCATGGTCATGTGATCAGAAAGTATTAGAGGTTGACCCACTTGCCACGACCCTGTTTCTCAGCCTTCCTCTTTCACCCCGTTCTCTCAGCAGCCCCTTTTCTCCCTCATACTGTTCTTGCTATCTCACTTCACTACCACACTAGGGATGTAACAGTGTAGTTGATTAACTAATAAGCAAAATCTTATAGGTTAATGCTATAGACTTCACGCATTTCCCCCCACCCCTTGCCAGTACATTTTTTAGCAGGCTGGCGAGCAGCCCAGCTCAGTCCCAGCTTGCACTGGGTCTGGGACCCACTCCTGCTGTGGTTCTGCCGTGGTTCTGTGTATTAGGAGGCAGCCTGGCTCAGTTCCAGCTTGGGCCGGGTCCAGGAGCTCAGACCCCTTCCTCCCAGATAGGTGTTACCCGGGGACTATAGAATAGTCAAGTAACCAATAAGAATTCATGAGGTTAATCAACTATTCAGTTAACAGATATTTAACATCCCTCTACCAAACCATATTGTGCCTTCAGTTCCCCTGTGATGGGTACAATGGCACCATGTGCACCATCAAAGCTTTTATATGTCCAAGGGTCCTGTCAGCTGCAGACAGGCACTTTAAAGGGACATTTACATGGGTGGTTGGTGAACTGCTGGTTTGGAGTGGCTTTCCCCACCACACCTTCCTAGCCCCACCACTTCTGCCCTAGGCCCTTACATGTCTGCCAGAGCCCACTCACCACTGTAGCAGCTGGCCAAAGCCCCCATGCCTGCCCCACTCCCAGGCTAGTGCCCCCCAAGCATTGGGATGCTGGACAGCACAGCCCCAGTGGCACCCCAACCCTGGAGCTTTGGGAGGTCCAGCCCAGCCTCTGTAGTACAAGAGCACTGGGAAGGTGGACAGTGCGGAGCATGATGGCACAGGGGAAGAGCCAGCCACCTTCACAGCAGGAAGGAGGAGGGAGATTGGGACGGAATGTGGGTGGAGCCAAACCTGGATGTTTGGGTAGACTCCACCTTCCCCAGCCTGTGACACCCACTGCCTATGGACACTGATTTGAGATGGGATTTTAAAAAAGTAATAACCTTAAATGGCAACGCAACGAAGCCACCAGCATGTCCTGAAACATGGTGTCACCTTTAAAACACTGTGTATTGGTGGAGGAGATCCTGGCATGGATCAGAATCTGGATCGAGCCTTTGAAAAAGTGGGACAAAAGAGGGAGAGAGGAAATGACTGCCTCATGAAGAGGCCATCAAATGCATCTCTCTGTCAAGCTCCTTTTTCAAGTTGGAGGGCCATCATTTTCCTCTCCTTCAGTTTGTGTGTGTGTGTGCGAGTACACACGTGCACACACAGTAATTTCCATCTGTATAAGGAAGGGTTCAACATTCTGGGCTTCTCTCCCCCCGGCCTCCTTAACCTTCTCTTGTTTTCTCCTTCCAGGGATGTTGGTGCGGGAGGTCCAGATCGAGGTCTCCCGGCAGCAGGTGGAGGAGCTCTTTGGCTTAGAAGATTACTGGTGCCAGTGTGTGGCGTGGAGCTCTGCTGGGACCACGAAGAGCCGAAGGGCCTATGTCCGGATAGCATGTAGGTGGAATACACACTTCTCATTGATCATGGGCTCTGCTCCATCTCTGTCACTTGCTCCTTCTTGTCAGCTTGTCCCCACATTCTTTGTGGAAAATCCTTCTCATCTGCCCTTGTGGCGATTTGGGAGTGGGAAGTTTCTTAACAGGTTTAGGCATTTGACAACCTAAAGTTTTATAATTACTTGAGCTGGCAAAAGCTCCCATCTCCATTCCAAGCATCAGAGGAAGGACAGAAACTTTCCTTCTTTATTTGCTCAATGGTTTTCTCCCAACATAGTGCCATTACTTCTCCTTTTCCACTGGCTGCCACCATAATCAGGCTTACCTGTGACAACCACTGAGATAGATGCTCATCTCACTCCCATTTGATGGAGCTGGTGGGGTTCACTCAATGAGGCAGAGCCAAATTACCCCATCACACGATTCCTGCCACACCTGTTGGACTTAGTTGATTGGTCAATGTAGGCTAGTGGTTACAGTCAAGGATACGAGCCAGGAACTCCTGAGAACTGTTCTCAGCTCTAGCATTTACTCACTGTGTGACTGTGGGTAAGTCATACTTCCTTTGTATGTAGCTCAGTGTTCTCATCTGTAAATGGGGATAAGCTTACCTGTCTCACAAGGGCATTGCGGTATTTAACTAGTTGATGTTTGTGTGGCACTTTCGACATGCTCAGCACTTCCACAATACTTCATTATTTTTAGCAGCCTGACAAGTTAGCACCTTAAACATGGAAGTGATGTGCCTGATTCAGCAACTTTAAATCCCACACCCCCAGTTGTTGTTCTATCTTGTTTCCTTTACCAAGTGAATAGCATGTAAGTTCTTAGGGTACAAGAACTCTACAACTGGGCTCTTCTGCCACCCAAAGGATGCTAAAGGTGATTCTCTTGACAAGGCGAGAGCTGGGGGAATGGTACGTTGCAGTGTGGAAATTTCAGATCTGCCAATAGGGAAACTGTTCTGTGATTAAAGATGCTTCACTATAGAAGCATCATGCTGAATATTGAAAGTCCATATGGAACCTACTTTCAGAATTTGTTTCATTTACACTCTGTACAGCTTGCACGAGGGAGCCCCTTCCCTGTATGACCCAGCTACACAGCTGAGCAAGGCAATATGCACTTCCCCTTCTGCAAAGCTCCTAGGTACATTTTAGACCATATGTACAATATAGAACTATAATGCAGAGCAGTAATACTTGCCGTCGTAGGGCTATACTGTAGACTAGGCCAACTCTTTTTCCAGAAGACTCGGGAATACTGAAAATGGCTATCTAGGGTGGAAGCTCTTATGTTGCTTTATTTGTAGCAGTTGCTTCTTTCCAGCTAAAGCCACTGACGTGTTCTCTGCCTTCAAGGCAGTTTTGACACAGAGTGATGCTTCCTGTGCTCAGTTGACAGTGCAAGGCCACAGCTGGGGGAAAAAACTGTCTCTTGTCTTTCTCTTTTTCTTCATCTTGCCTTTTTTGAGGCCACATGAAAAGCCCTCTCTTGTCTCCTTTCCAAAATGGACCCCAGCTCAGTGACATTTGCTAATGGACCTCTGCGTTTCACAGAGTAGTTCTGTGGCAGTCAGCCTGCGCTTTTCACACGCTACATAAAAGTGTGTGTGGGGGGGAAGGAATAGCACAAAAAAAGTTGGCACCCAGTCACATTTAGCTCAAGTTGGAGTGATGCTTGTTGGAAGCAATTTCTGTGGATTGCAGCGCCATCTAGTGAAGAAGGGAAGGACTGGTGTCTGTTGCTCCTTTTTCACCACTGAGTTTGGTCCAGGAATGTACAGTGTGCCTTCACATGCTGCTATATTGGGCTGCCTGGTTCCCTTTCATTGAACATCCCATGTGATCATGAGCAAGAACATTTGTGTTACATATATATAAAGCCCAGTTCTGCCTCCTACTCACAATGAGTGGTTCCTTACTATGCAAGAGGTATCATTGACTTCAGTGGAATTATTCCTGAAGTAAGGTGTTGCTTAGTGTAAGGATGGCAGAATTGGGCCCATGTTACTGACAGTATATATGTATGAGCAGTGTGATATATGATCACTTTTATAGTATGATATACTACATGGTTACATATGCTGTTAACCCATACAATAGTTCTGTATAATTCATTTAAAATGAAATAAACGCACTTTACATGTGATGAATGAAAAAGACAAAGATCAGATTTGCAAAAGTGCCCAGCTTCTGGGACTTACAAGGAGATGGACCCTTTTGAAAATCTGACCTTTTCTTTAAGGGGCCTAAATGGAAGCAGAACACTACTGAAAATATTGTCTCTTGTTTAGCCTCAGTTGGAGCTTTCTGGGGTTGAGAATCTGGTCTGGAGATTTCCTTGAAATGCACAGTGCTAACTAATTGTCACCCAGAGTTCCAGTTCATAGTAGTACATCTGCCCCTGGATCAAACTGCTCCAGCATGTACTGCCAGATCTCGGTCCCTCCTTTTCACTAGTGTAACAAAGCAGCAAGACCATGTATCTGTGGTCCCCTTTCAGAAACATAGGTGTCATCATTTTGGATTGATTTGGATTATAGAAGGTGAAGTTTCTAGACAGGCACATGTCACTCCAGCAAAAGTGGACCAGAATACATCTCTTCTCCTCCACCCCGTACCCTCTGGGCTACCTCCTCTGAACAGTTCATTTAAGGGGAGGGAAATAAATTGCATTCCAGGAGTGGGCGAACACTCAAAACCATGTTTTATCCATGGGCAAGCAAATGTCAGCCCTAGTTCTGAGACATCCTTTGGAAGACCTAGCCTTTTTCTGCTGGAATATGATTCCCTCCAAAAGATAAGTAAGTGCCTGGGAAACAGCAGTTTTTACAGTTCCAAGCATAAGGTAGGGTACAAAGAGTCCACCTGGATGGGTGGGGCAGGTAGTGACACCCAGAAAGAAGGGTGGAGGTGACAGACAGGAAATCCCTGGAATTCTCAGTGGCTAGTCAGTAGGCTGATATAGTGAACTCCTGGTAGATTTTATCTCCTCGCAGGCTCCTCTGTCCATAGCTGGTATCCCCAAGGTACTGTGGGTTGCTCCATTCCGGGCTGATAACACTTGGGGCTCATTTTTCTTTCCCAGACCTGAGAAAGAACTTTGACCAGGAGCCTCTGGGGAAGGAGGTTCCACTGGAACAAGAGGTGTTACTGCAGTGCCGCCCCCCGGAGGGGGTGCCCCCAGCAGAGGTAAGTTATTCTCTTGCTTTCTCGTGCATGTCTCCCAACAGCAGAGCTGGCTTGAGGGGCCACGTTAGATGGAAGGTGTCAGCCTATGTTGGGGGCATATTTTATTCCTACAAGAAAAACTACTTACCCGAGAGCTCATACATTTCTGTTCCTCCTCCACCGTCCAGCATCTTTGCCCAAACAGACCAGATTTTCCATCCACACCAATCCTGGCAGACGACCCTTCACAGTACAAAAAAGCCCTCTTCATAGCGAGGGATTACTGCAGGGAAGGCTGCACCATCTCCATCCACCAGGGGCCTGCAGTGGCATCCCCAGAATGGGCAGCACTGACAGTGGATAGAGCATTGTCCTATCAGCAGAGGGATATGCTGTTTTAGTGCAGCCTATGGTGGTCTGGCTCTTGGGCATTCCTCCGCAGCTGTCCTCCCTGGGCAGAAAACCCTAGGGAACGCAGCCTGCCCTCGGTTGGCTGTATCTGCCCCGGGATGTAATAAACTCGACTTCCCTGCCCGAGCAGAAGTGACACCTTTTCCAAGCCCAGCTCCCCATGCCCTCTCTCTCCCCCAGGCTGATGCATGAAAACACTCGTGCAGTCCAGTGGGAAAGAGCATGTTAGGCACTTTTCCTCTCTCACCTGCAGTCTCTATTTATGACTGTCCTGGTGGGTGTTAGTCTGGAGAGACTCCACCCTCTTAGATTTGTGGGAGCTGCTTTTTTGTTTCTAAGAGCACCTCTAGTTGCCGGATGTATGTTTCTATCTGCTGGAGGCAGATGCTGGAATAGCATTTACAAGGCTCCTGGCATCTCTTGAATTTTGCCAGTTTTAGCAGACACACAGCTTTCAGTTATGGATTTTACTGCCCTGTCCCTTTTCCAGCTGTGGTTTTTGTTTATCTTTAATCATAGGACATAGAAATTACTGGTATTTAGCCCCTCCCACCTGCCTTCCCTACCTTCATCTGGACACAGCTGTGGCTTCAATGAAGCCTGATCCCAAAAGTGAACAGTTGCTAGCCAGCCCCCTACGTTCTCCATCATGATCCCCTCATAAAATAGCACAAGCTAATACCAAGTCATCTTTGGGGACGCAGCTCCTCCATATGTTGTTCATTCAGCCCCTAGAACTCGTATCTTCCCCAATGTCTCTTGCACCACCTTTCCCGCTCCAGCTGGGATTCCCAGCAGCTCAGTGTGCTAGTGAAGTTGCACTTCGGAGCAAGGAAGAGAACATATGTGGTAGATAGGGCACATCTTTGCAGGTGGATTGGGCCCATGATAGATGGCCTCATGTAGGCCATCAGCATCCATTATTCAGCAAAACTGTTTATTTTGGGCAGTAGATCTGTTATTCTGACATCTAATAACACACTTAACCTCAACACCTGTTCAGCTTACGCCTCTCTCCTATACATGCTCATCTGCCATTAACCCTTTGCAGGACTGATCTGGAAGAAAAGGAAGTACAGAATGGCTGTTTAAATGCTTTGAGTAAAAAAATGAGTTAGTGGGGCCTGGAAAGAGGAAGTTCATGGTAACTCGTATCAAGGCAGGGCCTTTGCCTAGTCCAGTCACCTTTCCAAACTTGTTCCAGTAACTCCATGCAGTGCCATTAACACCAGCGTGAGTGCTCTCTGTGTGTGATAAGCCTATGGCCTGTCATCTCTCATAGAAAAAGCAAGTAGGTGGACAACCAGGTTGGTGCTAGTCCAGCCAGTAGTGGGAGTTTGAATATTTGGGACTGGGGTGGGATTCTGTCCCTGTTCTCAAGTGGTAAACAGAGTTCTCCTGCCTCATGCTGCCAGCATCTCTCCAGGCAACACGAGCCTTATATTCGTGTGTAAATGTGACACTGTAAAGGGGTACGCTCGCTGCCAAAGCGCCACCAGCCGTTGGTCCTGGGAATTAGCTCGGACGGCTGGTCACGGGGTCCTTTTCGGGACACTGCCCTCCAGCAGTGCCCACTACAGTCTCTGAGTTCCCCCCTTCTGGGGGTTGGTTGTAGGCTTGTAGGCCTCCCGGAGGGGTTCCTCTGCCTCCGGGTCAGTGGGCGGTATGCCTGTCCCACTGCGCAGCCCCTGTCAATTGTCCCCCAAGTCTCTAGTCCCACTGTCAGGCCTTGGCCGCCTGGACAGGTAGAAGGGGTCAATAGTTCATGTGCCCGGCCTTGCTTCAGGTCCGAGCCATAGGGGAAGAAGTTCAATAGAGACTCAAGTCTCTCAGCTCACAGTGCCGGGCAGGGCAGGGCAGCAGTCCTAGTCCTGCCCCTTCAGGAGGCCCCGGCCTGGGCCCAGACCAGGCGGTAACCACCCACACTACATAAGCCCTGGCTCTGGGGCCAGGCGGGGCACCAACCACACAGGTTTGAGGAAGCTCCTGATTCAGGAGCTGGGCAGGTAGCTCACCTGCAGCAGTGGCAAGGGGGAGACCGCCACCCCGTAGGTGGGTGGCAGGGGGCGCAGGCCCACCCACGCCACTGTGCCCCGGCCCTGGATGCAGCAGTGCAGCTGCTACTGGCTCAGCAGGGGCTCCAGCCCGCAAAGTGCTGGCCTAGGGCTGCGATCAGCCCGTGCTACCCCCTGGGCCACTCCTCGTCTCCCCCTTCGCGGGTACCCGTGTCTCCAGCAGGTCGGTCAGGGAGTCGAGGGTGGTGTCATCCCAGCAGAGCAGCCTTTGCCGGCCTTATGGAAGGCGGCTGTGAGAGGCCCAGGCCAGGTTTCAGCCTCGTCAGCCAGGAGCTCTGGGCAGGCCTCTGTCTCCCTCAGAGGCTGGGCCCCGACTGAGCTCCCAGGCAGACTTCTTATAGTCCTAGCCACGCCCCTTAGCTTCCTGTCAGGTGAGGGGGCGGGGCTAGGTTGTGGAGGATACTCGGAGGATACTTTCTCCCTTCTGATAGTGGGGGACATCTCCAACCCACTACAGACACCTATAAGGTCCAGGCAATGGAATTTTAAAACTTTATTTTTTTAAATGTCTCTGTCACACCTGCATGTACTTTAACATACTGAGTAGTGCAGAAATACATACACACATTAGAGAGACAGTGTGCGCCATGGTCTCAATGCACCGAGGAGCTGCATGATGACACGCTGCCTTGGGGTTGTACCTTGCTCACTCCTACCCCTGATTCATCGTTTCCAAGGTCAGGAGGGACCATTGTGATCATCTTGTTTGACCTTCTATATTACACAGGCTATAAAACTTTCTCAAAATAACTCCTAGAGCAGCTCTTTTAGGCAAACAGCCAATTTTGGTGTCCAAATGGTGGATTCTCCATCACTGACCATGACCCTTGGTAAATGGGGCCAATGGTTAATTACCCTCACTCTCAACAATATTCCTGTCTGAATTTGTCTAACTTCAACTTCAGAGTACATATCCCCCTCTCCTTTGAATCCTATTCCTGCTTATCTCTTTCTGTGTGCCCATCAAGATGCCTTCTCCTTTGCTGTTTTCCTTCCCACCCCACTGCAAGGTTCTTCCTGTGTATTTAAAGCAACTGGGCCCTGATTTGGTTTACACCTTGCTTACACTGTTTGTAAGCCAGCATTGTGGTGGAGACCATGTGGCATTTGGATTTCTTTCCTAGTCCTTGCCCACACTCCCATTAGCCACATCCCATGTTAATTATCCATTCAGCCCTGCATGTGCTGATCAGCATTCATTGTGTGCTACACCACCTAGCTCAGGAAAGAGCCAGCATGCTTCCTGCCCCTTTGGCCACGTGTTTGCACACCTTCCCCATCTCTCATCCTGGGCCATGAGCATCATGGCTCCCCCTCATTCACCTAGCCATGGACCATTTCTTTTCCTCGATGGACAGTGGTGGATTTTGGGTGGTGTTCTTAGAGATTTGGCAAGAAGGCTTCTGGAAATGACAATGCATGCTGGATTTTATCTCTGTAACCTTGCTTTCTCCTAGTGAGACCTAATTGCCTCTGGTTCTCTTTCTCTTTTTTCCCCTTCCTTCCTCTGTTTTCTTTCACTAACTTTCCCCATCCTTTCCTCTCTTTTATTCCTCTCTGCCTTTCCTTCCCTCCTTTCTTTCCTTTTTTTCTGCCTAGGTGGAGTGGCTGAGGAACGAAGATGTAATTGATACCACCCAAGACACCAACTTCCTGATTACTATAGATCATAACCTCATAATCAAGCAGGCCAGGCTTTCAGACACCGCCAACTATACCTGTGTGGCCAAGAACATTGTGGCTAAGCGCCGGAGCACCACAGCAACCGTCATCGTCTATGGTACTGATTCTTTGTTCTTAGGAAGCAGGAATTAGCCATTGTGTGTGTCCACAAGCTCAGGGAAAAGTATTGTGACTATCTGTAGCTGCATCCTTAGAAGTACCAGAGTTGCGAGCTACCACACACACAACTTTAGATGTAGAGCAAATCCAGGCAAGTTTTACAGGGAAACCAGATGAAATGCTGGATTTGGCTGAATTTGTTTTGAGCTTGAATCAAAAGGAAAGGATAAAAGTTGAACCAAACCCCACACATCTGTATCTATTTCATTTCTAAAACAAAGTAGTGACCATTTTCTGCTCTGACCCACTAAAAAGCTCTTGGAGTCAAAAACATTTGTGAAGTTACAACTCCTGTAGAGCTGCGGTAAATCAGTGCAGCTCCAGCATGGTGAGAAACCAGGAACACTTAAAAAATGTTCAGCCTTTTTTAATCAGCCAGAGTTGGGAGGCACTCACATAGAAGATGCCTGTTTATGTGGTAGAAGGTGCATGTTTATTTGTTGGAGAGCGTTGGGAATGGGGTATGTAGGATTAAAGGAACCCAGTAATTGGTTGATGTGGATCAGTCTAGGGAGCTGGAAAAGACTAGGTACCATCCTCAGCTTCTTTAGTGACCACTCCCGTCGAGTCCAGGAAACCGCAGCGTTCACTCCACCAACCACTTTCCCTATTGGCTGTAGTGACTGCCAGGAAAGGAAAGGATGAACGTGACTGGAGTGGTGCTGAGACATGAGTCTGAGTGTCAGTCCAAGGCTCAGGGTTTTTAAGTAGTGTTTTTGGTACTATTTAATTTCTCTATACACAGTGAACGGTGGCTGGTCCACCTGGTCAGAATGGTCTCAATGCAACAATCGCTGTGGCCGTGGCTGGCAGAAGCGCACCCGGACCTGCACCAACCCAGCACCTCTCAACGGCGGCTCCTTCTGTGAGGGGCAGCCCTTCCAGAAAATCGCTTGTACCACGATGTGCCCAGGTAAGGGAAATTTATTTGAGAACCCGAGGCCGCCAGGAATCATGGCTATGTGCTCGCCTCTTCGGATTGTCCAGTTCAGCAATATCTAGCACTGCCCAGGGACTTGTGGGGATGGCATGTATTCTGGAGGGGGATCTGTAAGAAGTCACGGAGTATGAATCTCAGAGCAGCCTCCTTCCAACTAGTGCAAAGTGACTTTTGTCCTGTTGAAAACTCTCATTATGGGCTGTGAAACTCTAGGTTGTAGATGTGAAAGCAGCCATGCCCCTTACATTCCCCGGGACACTGCTGGACTGGGCTTGCCATGCAATAGACTACCATAAAGACCCCCTGCAGAACCTAGGCTGGTGGAGCCGTCCCTCTTCCCCCAAATGGCCTGACAAAGTCCTTACTTTGCCTGCCCTATCATCTAGAGAACAAACCACTAGTGAGACGGCCTTCCAGTTCTCAGCTGTTTGAGCTGCTAAGCCAATTCAGAGCTACGTTTTGTAATGACTTCACCTCCCAGTTTGGTGATTGTGCAGCAGCTGCCTCATCCTAAGGTTTCTTTTGATTATTATCTGTTGGGATTAGAGAAGCCAAGTGCCTTCTGATTCAAATTTCTCTGCCCTTCCTCCTAGCCTTTAATCAGTTGTCTTCTCTTTGTGTCTGTGTGTGTGGTTGTGTTTTCCTGGAACACAGTAGATGGAGCCTGGACAGAGTGGAGCAAGTGGTCGGCCTGCAGCACGGAGTGCACTCATTGGAGGAGCCGGGAATGCACTGCCCCTTCTCCGAAAAATGGAGGCAAGGACTGCAGCGGAGTATTACTGGACTCCAAAAACTGCACTGATGGGCTGTGCATGCAAAGTGAGTGAGCGAGCCAGTCGGGGACAGCATGGGAGGGAGGGAGAAGGAGGAAAGAGACAGCCAGGGGAAAATGTAGGCTAAAAAGGTTTATAGGAATGTGGAAGACATTGCAAGCTGAAGGGTATGTTCTGCCTTTGTCTTGGCAGCAGGCGCTATACTTGGTCTCCTGCTGTGGGTGGATACAGTATTCAGTTCAAGTTCATCTCAACTGCTCCCAGAGCTCATTCCAGGTGGCCCCAGAAACCCAAACCCACTTCAGAGCTCCTCTTACTGCAAGTGAATAATAGACCAGGGTTGCTCTCTGCCTGTCTGACCGTATCGCCAACTCCATACGCTTTTCACATTGGACAACCACTGGTAAATTCCAGACTGGATATCCAAGCCCAGCTGGAATGGATTCTGATTGCAGTGCTGCACAGCACACAGCCAAGGAGAGGTGGTGACAGCAAAATGGATGTGGGATATTTTCTTAAGCCCCATTACTGGACTCCCTCTTGTTGCCAGTGCTAGCATAGAATTCTGATACAGCCCTTTCTAGCCCAATCAGAGCCTCACTAGACTACTTGCAAACCTGAAGGTTAGACATTGTTAGGGTGGGCAATCCAATCCAGCTCCAAAACATTGATGGCAAGTGGACTGCAAGGGCCATTGGCTGAAGCACCAGCCTTTTACTTGTGGCACCTGGCTTCAAATCTAATGAGTGCACTAGGTTTTAGCTCAGGCCTCCTAACCCTCATGGTGCACATTATCATTCAGCACACTTGGCAGTGTGCTCCCTCTCCCTGCTGTGGAAGGACTTAGGAAGGAGTTGCTAAAAGAAAGTAAAATGTTTGTCATCACCTTGCTACGGCAGGGTGGAGGTGACTGGCTGCACTACAGAGGGTGAATGTGGCCCGCAGCTTCCTGGCCCACGCATGTAAACACAAGGCATCAATTTCCATCACTACAGAGTCCATTAACCTTAAAAAAGTACGAGTGCTCCATGTGTGTTGCCAGAGGAAAGGAAGCTGTGGTAGGAGGGAGGAAGGGAGGGGAACAGAGGGCCAACCACTTGTTTTAAATACGCCCTTTCTGGGATTGCTTTAGTCCTATATTTCCCAGATGGCTCCTCTGTGTGTTTTTCTGCTCTGCGCACCCACACCCCTCCTCTTGAGGTAGCAGTGTTTAGACACGGGTCTGTCTGAGCAGACTCAGTGCTTGCCTGTCACCCCCAGCCCGGGAAGGTTGAATATGCAGCTTGACTTCCCATAAGAGAAACATTTCATTTAAGACCACAGAAAAGGGGACCATTTAGCAGCAGTGGAAGCTTATTTCCCCTCTGATCCCTGTCCTTCACTGGTATGCCACGTCGTGGCTGAGTTCCCGGGTGTTCCCATCCTGACCCTGCCTCTAGCAGAAGTGGCCAGCCACTCCCCATGCTGATCCAGGCCCACGCAGTGGAGGGTGCTGAGCGCCCACAGCTTTCTTCAGAGTGCATTAGTGCTGCACATGCTCAGTGCCATGCTGGATCAGGCTCTCTGCAATATTTGTGTCACAATAGTGGATAAGACCCAACAAACTCATTTCATTCCTGACCTAAATCCCTAGCGAGAATAGGGATTAATCATCGTTCTGTTTTTTTTCTTCATCAGTTGTTATCAGTCTGTGTCCCAGGGCCTGGCATGAAGCCAAAAACCAGAAGTCTTTAAAATGCCTCTGAATTAAACCGTCTCCTCTAGAATTGAGGTGGAGTGGAGGAGGGCTTGGATATTTACCATACCCTATTTGGGATCTAAATAGATCAAATGAGTATTCTGAAATACCAAGCCTGTTCTAGGTCTGTGTGGCAATGAGTCTGACACGTTTCATGAGACAATCTTTTACCTGAATTTGGAATTCCTTGGACTCCCCTCATTCCTTAGTATCACTTCTGACCAGCAGCTACAAACAATCCCAGCTACAAATGGGAGGGGGGGAGGTGCTACAAGAAAAACATGCTTTAGAGAGTATTAAAAAGTGTCCTCCTTAGCCTGCTTACCAGCCAGGAATAGTACCATTGCTGCCACCTGCTTGTTCTACAGCAGTATCTGCCCTGCTGCCCTGCAGCTTGTGTGCTTAGCATAACCCGGAATGCCCCCCGTGCTGTAATCTGCTTTCAAGAATGAGTTAGGAGCACATCATAACCCAGGCCCCCCTGTATGACTGCCTTCATGTCATCTTAAATAAACTCACCATGTCGATCTGTGTTGGCAGTGAGCAAAGGGAAGGGGAAGGGGGGGGGATTGAACCACAGAAGTGGTTTCAAAGAAGCATCTTGCAAGCTAGTGCCCTCTGGGCCTGGGAGAAGCTCATGGTTGGGAAAATTAAGGCATCATGACAGCAGAGGTCGGGTCCAGCTCGCAGGCAGAATCAAGCTACGTGTGGTGCCAACTTGGTGCTGGCTGTTAACACTTAGCAGGCAGAAAGCGCCTCGCAGAGAAAAAGGAAATAGCCGAGTATTGAGGAGCAAGTCTGCAGGGTGTGGAAAGGAGTGGGGAGGGCTATTTTATATCCATGGCTACAAATCATTGAGCCGATGCTCAGGACTTAGACCAAAAGCAAAGGCGTGACCTTAGAAAGTGGCTTCCATCCTTGATCCAACTTAGACAGTCAAAACGTGAAGGGAAAGTATTTGGTAGGTTCCCATGTGAATCTCTGTGATTGTTTGCCAGCCATGTGTCTGAGTAAGAGCCCTTCCTCCTTTTCTGGCCATGGCGCTCTGCAGTTGCTGAAACTACTCTCTTGTCTCATCTTGTGTCTCAAGGCTTCAGTCCAAGCTGGAATTAAATGAGAGGCTGGGCCAGGAGGGAGAGAGCTATTGTTACGTAAGGCAAATAGCTTTGATAATCAGCAAACAAGACAGAGGACAATTTTGAAAAAGCCTAACATGTAAAAGGACAATGATTTTGTTTCAGTCATTGATTTCTAGTCTGGGGTGGGGGTAGGCATAAGCCCAATTATGGCAGAGGAGGGAAGGAGAGAAGCCAAGCAAGGATGGGGGGGTGGAGGAAGAGGTTTTAAGAACCCATATCCTCCCCATTGCAAATGTCCTGCAAGTTGCTCCCCCCTCCCACGTGCTCCTTTGGTGGTCCCTAATGCAGATTCCATGAGACAAGCTCACGTGTACAGGCTCAGACGGCAGCCTGGCAGCAAAGTGTCTCTCTTCTGTGCGTACTTCTATACACGTGGCACCAGTGCAGCCCTGAGTGATCACGTGGAGGCTCCTCCACCCTGTCAGGAGCATGTAGCCATGTGATGAGTGAGAAGAGTGTGTACGTTGGGGGTAAAAAACCACCCCAAAATCAAGCAGAAGAGTTAGAGTAGAAAGTGAACAAGGAGGGAGGAAGTGGATGAGAGAGAGAGCAGAGAGGGGAGAAGAGGAATGGAGAGAGGAGGAGAGGTGGCATAACTGGGCTGAAGAATGGTAAATGGGGAGATGGACAGAGAATGGCCACTGTCATCTCTCAGTCCATGACATGGGAGTGCCCCCTAAAAGAGGAATCACAGGAAAGGCATCACTGGTTTTAACAGAATGAATGGTTCTCCCTGGGATACTGGACTCATTAAAATAGCTCTGAAATTCAGTGTGGCTTTCTTGGGTCTGGGCTGAGCCTAGGGCACCCCTCATACTCTCCACCACACCTAAAAGAGGCAGAGGCTGGCCTTTGAGAACTTGCCACTGCTTCATCACTGGGGCCTGAAGTGCCTGGGGCTTTTAGTCTGTTGAACCCCCTGGGAGGCAAGTGAATTTCATGAAGTCAGACCAGGGACCAAGTTCTGCTCCCCTACACCCTCAGGTGAGCAGTGGGTTGAAGGGCTTGGGAAGCTGTGTCCCCACTCACCCCACTGAAGGAAAGGATTTAGGGGCAAGGGGTCAATGTGCTGTCAGGCTCCTACAGCCTATTGGAAATGTAGATCAAAATTCATCATTCTGGTTGAGCAGTGTAGGCTCCTTTAGATGGGCAGCAAGTCCTGCCATTCTAACTGGGGTGGGGGAGTGATTACATGCCTGCTTTCTTAAAACTACCACCTGAGCAAGGCTTCCGCATGGCTTCACAAGGCTCCTTGTTCTCTCTAAACCATTTGTGGGGTTTTATCTCTCGTGGGATCCTTCTTGGCATGCTGGGGCTGATTGTTGTTTGTTTCCTTCCATTAGCATCATCACCATCAACATTTTCACCCTTTGTTTTTAACTTTGTTTTTCCTAACAGATAAAAGAGTTCTAAGCGAACCCAAAAATCACTGTAAGTCCTCATTTCATGGCCACTTTATTTCATTGTGATACATTGATTTGTTTCTTGGCACCTCTGAGCGCTCCTTGGTATCAGGCTGGAACTACAAAGCAGCTGTAGTACACCACAGATGTTAGCAGATGTTAAAGGATCAGTTGCTCCATCAAACTTGAAACACCTAAATTTAACTTATATTTCAGCCGTCCATTTCTCTATGTGCATGGGCTAAGTTTTATGGTTAGTTACAACAGAATACACCCAAATTAACCAAAGTCCATGAAGTTATTCCAAAATGAATGAAAATTGAATTTGTCTGCTTGTCTTTGTGTGTGAATGTATATATATATATGAATAGATACATGTACACATATGTATCCATATAAAAAGTGTGATTTTTTTTAAAAAATTTGTTTTTTTTGCTTCGGAACAAATGCCTAGATTCAGTCCATATAAAAAGTGTGATTTTTTTTTAAAAAAATTGTTTGTTTTTTTTGCTTCGGAACAAATGCCTAGATTCACACACACACACACACCCACCCACTCCCTGCCAATTAAAACCAGTGCCAGTAGTTCGTTTCTAGTCCTGTTGTTGTTAATGCACCTGTGACAACTTAGGAAATAACACTTCTTTCCTGAAGAAGAGCTCTGTGGAGCTCAAAAGCTTTGCCATCCACCAGCAGAAACTGGTCCAATAAAAGATTCTCTCACCTACCTTGTTTGTCTCATATCCTGGGGCCAACATGACAACAACACGGTAGACTTCTTTCCTTGCCATCTTTGTCATTTTCCATTTTACCAATGGGGTTTCTCTTCTGGGATTTCACTAGAATGGAAGCTAATGTGGCTGTTGATTTACTTCCTTCTTGTGCCTCTATATCCCCACTCATATCAACATTGTAAGGTTTGATAGTGTGTGGTTCTTCTCCGTTTTGCCAACTTCAAATATTCAAAAATTGAGTCAGACTCACCAAAAATCATATTGACTTTAAAATTAAGAGATTGTGAAAAAATAATATATTTGGTGATTCTTCTTATTTTCTTTCTGAGTCTTTAGGGTGCATGAGGGTCACATTTTGATGCTTTTTCCACAGACACAAGGGTTAGAAACTTCCCTTTTCTTTAAAAATGAAGGCTGGACCCATCCTTGACTCCAGGAGTTGGGGCTTTAAGGAAACCAAGTATAATGAGACTCCTGATGAAATCACAGGAGTTGACAGCACTACCTTCTAAAGGTGCAGAACATATAACACTGATCAACATTTTTTGTAGCCAGTGAATTTAACACTAGTAAAGATGAGCTCTTTAAAAATTGGATTCTTCCCAGAAATTAGAAGAATACTGGCCTGTGCTATAGCTCTGAAATACTTGTCTTTATCTCTGGGAGACAGGTGCAGATCATTTCAATTGTAGTTAATGTTGGATGTTGTCATATCTCCCTTGACAATCTCTGTGGAATCATCCCCCTTCTACAAAAGGTAGCACTGAAAACACTTTAGGTCTTTCAGGTTTTCTGTGAGTAGAAGCTCCTAGCTATTCCCCTTCTATCAAACTGGAATATTTCTGTGATCTTGCTGCAGAAGGAATACCCCAGAGGACAACCTACCCACGCCCACACAAATATACCCCAGGAATAGAAACAACCCTAACAAACTGGCCTTGGTTCTGATCCATACCAGACTCTGTACAGGTTAGAAACCATGAAACTAAGCAAAACAATCAAAGAGCACCTGGAAACAGGAAAGGAAAAGAGAGAAGAGGGGTAAGACAGAGAGCATGAGTGTTCAGGCCAATCTGTTTAATGTATCTGGAGTAATTTTCCTTGAGGCAATGTTCAAAACAGACGTGGGTGTATGTCTCAGAGACCGCAGCATCTGATTCTCTAATATGGCCTTATTTAAAGCACTCGACACGAGTCAAGGGTGGATGCAGATTCTGTCTTTGACACTAAAATATGCTGGAGACAAGACACTGATGCTGCAGGATCCTTGTAGAGTTGGAATTCCTTCCCTTGGCAAAGGAATGTAATCTGAGCTCATTTGAAATCAAGGGACTAAATCCCTTGGGTAAAACAAGGGTTAATTTGTTACTGAAGCATGAAAGGAAGGGAGTCAGTGACAGGAACAGAGATTCATGGGCCTGGTTCAAGCTTCCTCAAGTCTAACAATCTACATTCCCAGGCTAGAATGACATAGATTGGCTTAGGTGTCCATGCAGGCCACAGCAGCTGATCAAATCACCAGAGCAGCCATTCCGTAACAGCTGGTACTTTCCTTCTCTGAGGAAGGAAACACATCTACGAGTTTGAGGTGGGAGCAGATGGAAGAATGCCCAGTGGTTGTATGGCATCTCTCCATGTGCTATCCTATTAGCTCATTTTTATCTCTTCCATGTGCATGCATATCATCTTTCAAGGCAGATTTCTTCCTTTTCCCTGGACCAGGGGAGCCCAAAGATCAAGAGTCATACTGGGTGTGGGTGGGTGTGTCTGTGTCTATATATACACACAAACAGTGACTTCTGATTTGGGGCATACAGATAGATATATCCATTGTGTAGTTCTCATTATTGGACTACACTTTGAGCCCATCTGTTACCTTGTTGGGCCACCCTAGCCTTCCCCACCTAGCATTTCCTAAAAGCTTAATCCTAGAATTAGTAGTATCTTCTGCATAAAGACAGTGGGTTGATTAAGCAGGGATCCGGCTGTGGGTGGTCCAGGTCTGACAGCAGATTGTGCAAAGCCCCCTTTTCCTCAGGTTTCCTTTTCTCATTTATCTCTCCTAGTGTTGGAAAGCACAGGGGATGTGGCCCTGTATGCTGGCCTAGTTGTGGCCATCTTTGTTCTCATCGTCATCCTAATGGCTGTTGGAGTGGTTGTGTACCGACGCAGCTGCCGGGATTTCGATACTGACATCACCGACTCCTCAGCTGCTCTGACTGGAGGTTTTCATCCAGTCAACTTCAAGACCTCCAGGCACGGTAAGAAGAAAGCAACTGGCCTGCCCCTTCATAGCATGTCCACCTTTGATCTGCCAGAGAAAGGAGGCTGAGGGAAGAAGGTGGAAACAAATAAAAGGGGTCAGGTTTAGGGGAAGAATAGGCCATTTTGGACATCGAGCGTGAGAGGAGTCATTTATGACTTGGAGAGAAGAGTTGAAGTTCTCGTGTCACATTGCCTTTCTGTGTGAGAGCCAGGAAGGCCCACAACATTTTGGCACCTGAGGTGGCGGGGAGCTCAAATGATGCCCCCATGTCCCCTCGCTAGGGCCAAAACTTAGAATGGTCTCAATTCTGCCTTCTTGCTGTTCTACTCCTCTCATGGCACTCCACCGTCTCTGTGCATCTAGAGCAGAGAGAATACATATGCACCAGCAGCAGACACAATTTTCTACACTCTGGATCCTAGTGGTGCCCCCCCACAGTCTGGCATCTGAGGCGGCCACCTCAGTTCGCCTCATGGTAAGGCCAGCCCTGCCACAGTCAGTGCTCCCCGTGCAAAAGAACCATGCTTAGAATGTTTATATTATTTATTACTTGTATTCCTGTTGTGCCTAGAAGCCACAATCAAGATTCACCCATAGTATGAAAACGAGCTAATTATCTTGCTTGATTTGTTTCCTTATTTTTAAAATGAGTTTAAAAATAAAATGACACTTTGCATCCAGAGTAGGTTGTTTTATGTGTGTTCTTTATCAAACAAGAGAGCAAATGAGTGTTACAGGTTCAGTTGCCCACTTTACCAAAGCCACCACAGCTGAAATGAATTGGCAGCTTTATTGGAAATCTCTACAGAGACTTCTAGAGACCACATTACCCAACGGGGCACAGCAGAAGCTTGTATTTCCACTTCCTGCACTGTACCAGTTGTGTGGAAAAGAGGGCTTCAGTTTTCATGCCTATCAATCTGGCACTGTTCACCGGCATTAAATTGCCCCCCAAACTTGTTTAGAATAAAAAAAATAATAATTTCTATTTGCAATAGGCAACAGGTCCTGTTGGCTCCGAGCTGTCAGAAGCACCCTTCCATTCACCTCTTTATCCATCAACACAACGGTGCCCATGGGGAAGGGATTTCTGTCTGTCCTGTACACCGATCTGATAGATCAGATTCCATTTAATTCCTGCCCACTAACTCTCAAAGGATACAGAGGAGAAGTCCATGGTCTCATAGGTTAAGAAATGAAGTAACAGGTAAGCTCATAGGTAGAGTTGGTTGGAAAAATTACAACAAAACAGTTTTTCATTGGGATTTGCTGATTTTCCAAAATCTGAACCATTTCCATGGAACAATTCATTTCAATTCAGTTCCTCCAGAAACCAGGAAGTTTATGAAAACTGCTTGATTTCTTGCTGGCTTGCCAGCCCTACCTGCTGCTTCAGGGAAGCCAGCCAGGTGCCCCAGTCAGTGACCCTAGGGCTTCCAAAGTCTGTGGTTCTTGGGCAGCCCCACCAGTTCTGTCTCTTTGTGCGGACTCCACTGCTTGGCCTTCTATGGAGAACTTTGAAACATCGGGGTTTAATTCTGAATAAAAAAAAATCTAAGTATCACAATCCTCTGCAAAATGGAATTGCCCAGCTTTGCTCATAGGTTGTTTTATTTTTAAACTTACCGGTAGTTTAAAAAATAAGGAAACAAATCAAGCGAGATACTGAGCTCATGTTTGTACAGTACCTAGCACAGTAGGGCCTCGATCTTGATTGGGGCCTCTAGGCATAACAGGAATATAAATAATAAGCAAAAGTAACAGGAAGTATAGAGAACACAAAGCATTTCAGCAGTTCAGCATGGAATGAAATACTGTCCTGGTCATCTGAAGAAGTGGGCTGTGCCCACGAAAGCTCATGATACCATCTACATGTTTCATTAGTCTATAAAGTGCTGCCAGACCATTTGTTGTTTTTTAAGTTTGTCCCCTTTGTGTGAGTTACAGGAGAGGTGAACTGCTTTGAGATTCTTGATAAACTTTCTGTGTTCACACGATGATGCAGTTTCTCCTTCATTCTTAAGGGAATCTTGGTCCTGATTCTCAGTCCAGGCAGTTTCCTTTCAAGTAATTGACAAAAGGGAGAGAGTTCAAAGTCCAGGCTCCAGCCTCTTGCTTTAATAACCTGTTTCTCCTAGGGAGAGTAACATACCCTTAGCCTATTGATTCACTGAGGACAGGTTTCCATATAGGACTCCTTTGATTTGAGCTAGTTTACATTGACATGTTACTGAAGTTTTTGCCTTTTTCATCTTTATCTTGCAGACAATCCGCAGTTGTTGCACCCTTCCATGCAACCTGACCTAACAGCCAATGCTGGTGTATATCGCGGCCCGATGTATGCCCTGCAGGACTCCTCTGACAAGATCCCTATGACCAACTCTCCCCTGCTTGACCCACTTCCAAACCTAAAGATCAAAGTGTACAACTCCTCCACAGCATCCTCCTCCCCCAGGCTGAATGATGGGGCAGACCTGCTTGGGGCAGTGCCCACAGGCACCTACCCAGGGGACAGTCCAAGGGACAATCACTTTATGAATTTAAGGAACAAGGCTGCGGGCTCTCAGCATCTCCTCACCCTGCCCCGGGAGCATGGGAACAGTGCCACTGGTACATTTGGCTGCTTGGGAGGAAGGCTCACTATCCCAGATACAGGTAAGCACCAATGTAGGAGGTGCACCTGCGGTTGCTACTGTCCCAGTTGCTCTCAGTAACTTACAGGTGAGTGGTGAGGCCTTGTGATGGTGGTCTTTGGTTTTGCAAACAGTCTGGTGCTGATTTGGAATAAATGATGCACATGCATATCCCTTGCTACACTGAAAACCCCATTAGGCTGCCGGCCTCAGTATCTCCATAAGAAACAGCTGATGGGAATCAGTCACTATCTTGTGGTGACCGTCGTGTATTTTCGTTACTCCATTTGTAACGTGTTGGAGAGCAATGGAGAAAGTCAGCTCCCTGCTGCACTTCTTGTGCTAAGGGTTTCCCCATCTCTGAATGCTGCCTGGCTACACAGTTGGACCCATTTCCATCTTGGCAGGCTAGGAAGTCTCTTAGGTCCTTCCATAAATTCAGTAGTGGCTGCTTTCACATCACATTGGTGAAAGCGACTGTGCCAGTAGTTGAAATAAAGCCAACATGTGACCATTTCACTGCACTTGCCAGATCACAGGCCTTACCCAGCTGCCAGTCTCTACAAAGGTACCCACTTGTGATACAGGCACTTCAACACGGTGATACGTGATCTGGAGCAGCAGTCCCACATCCTGGGAAGCTTTGGGTGAGAAGAGCAGGAAGCCTCATGCCACTGTCTGCACCCAAGTGAGGCCTCCAATTCAGTTTGTACTATGTGCCCAGCATTTGAAATTAACCCATGAGGAAACTGGAAGCTCTCCGGGAGAGGGGGTTCCTTCATCATTTCCTCACCATGAAGAATCCCAAACCCCCCTTTTTATTCTTTTCCCTAGGAGTGAGTTTGCTGGTTCCTCATGGAGCAATCCCACAGGGGAAGTTCTACGAAATGTACCTACTCATCAACAAGGCTGAAAACACTCTGTAAGTAGAATGTACTGTACAGTGGTCCCCAGTCTGTCATCGCCATAACTATCCCCAGAAAGAAATAGCATATCTTAATTCCTTCTGCACTGCCCTGCATCTCATTTCTTGCTGCTCTCTCCCTTGCTTCTGACTTGGACCACGCCTCATGCCCATCCACACATCGGTCTCTTTTATATTCTTCTCTTCATGGCTTCTTCGGCTATGCCTTTTATACCTGGAACGCCCATCCTTCCTTTCTCAGACACTCATCTTGTTTCCTTCATTCAAATCTGTCCTCAAAGCATTTCTTCCACTAAGCTTCTCAATTCTAGCTGCCAAACAAAGACACATTTATTTTACACATCATTAACGATAAAAAACACTGTGCTTCCTTGTGGTAAATTTTATCTGGTACATTCTGTGTTGGAATCGGATTGCTTTGTATGTGTAATTGTGAGCACTTTGAGTCAGTTATTGTATCTTCCCCTGTGCTTTATACATCACTGATCATGTTCTCTGGTGCTCAGTAAATAATGTCTGGGAGGGTTTTACTCCTGCACCCAAAGATGGCAGTGACTATTGCTGGCAACACAGCAAAGAGGAGAGAAAGAAGTGCATTGTGCTCTGCAGTTTGCTAATGTGGTACAGAGTGAGATTTTTTTGCCGCTTGTATTTGTTTTGTGGCTCGTTATCAGGGGATTTCTGTGCAGCACCTGGGACTCTCATGAAGGTAGTGATGATTCCAGAAGCAGTGGCTACACAGTGAACTTGGACTCTACTGTCCACTATTCAGTATGGCTATGTCTAGACTACATCCCTTTTTCGTAAAAGGGATGTAAATTAGACGTATCGCAATTGCTAATGAAGCGGGGATTTAAATCTCCCCCGCTTCATTAGCATAAAAATGGCTGCCACTTTTTTTCGGCATGGAGCTTTGCCGGAAAAAAGCGCCAGTCTAGATGCTGATCTTGCGGAACATAAAGCGTTTTCCGAAAGATCCCTTACCCCTCTATGAAATAAGGGATCCCTCTATGAAATAAGGGATAAGTGATCTTGCGGAAAAGGCTTTATTTTCTGCAAGATCAGCATCTAGACTGGCGCTTTTTTCCGGCAAAGCTCCCTGCCGAAAAAATGCGGCAGACATTTTTATGCTAATGAAACGGGGGAGATTTAAATCCCCGCTTCATTAGCAATTGCGATATGTCTAATTTACATCCCTTTTACGGAAAAGGGATGTAGTCTAGACGTAGCCTATGTGTCCTCTGCCAGACAGCTCCCTGGCTAGCTCGTCTGCAGTATTTCCACAGGCCAGCAGAACTCCTAGTAATAAACACAGTAGTTTGTTTGCCAAAAAGTGATCATTGCTATCTGCATAGGAGCCCCAAGGCCTTTAACCATGGCAGAGCTGATTCTCCACTCCATGACTGTTACAACTCCACTGATTTCACGGGGTGGGAATCAGGCCCATTAAGTTTAGAGGATGGTAGGCAGCCCCTTCCTCAATTGTGAGCAACAATGTCAGCACTATGCAGGCTTCCTTCTTTCTTTGCATGCATGACTTGGCTGGCCTAGGCTAATTATTTTCCATATGTGTTTATTCATCCCCTCCAGCTTACCTTCAGAAGGCACACAGACAGTATTGAGTCCCATGGTGACCTGCGGACCCACTGGGTTGCTCTTGTGCCGCCCGGTCATTCTTACCATCCCCCACTGTGCGGACATCAGCTCCTCAGATTGGATTTTCCAGCTGAAAACACAATCTCACCAAGGAAACTGGGAGGTAATATGCCCTTTAATAATACAATGGGAACGAAATGTCATCACATTGCTCCGCCTCAGTCAGCAGGAGATGCTGGAGGGTATATGTGGGAATACTGCAGAGCCGGACACAGCAGTTCCATTAAGAGCTTCTTGAGGAATCTTCACTATTTGGGGTGGGGTGAGGGGGGCAGCTCTCCGCAGGTTTGCTGCAGGGATGGAGTGCTGCAGGAGCACTGACCTTCTCAGAGGTCTTCTCATGCTCCCTTGCTGCAGCACTACAGAAAGTGCCAATCTGAACGACCAGTAGAAACTTTGCCTATGCTGAACAAATTACTTGGGAGCAAAAGAGCTGATCAGGAACCTTCGTTTTTAATCCCTCCCTTTAGGAAGTTGTGACCTTGGATGAGGAGACCTTGAATACGCCCTGTTACTGCCAGCTTGAGACTAAGTCTTGCCATGTTTTACTGGACCAGCTTGGCACCTATGTTTTTGTGGGAGAGTCCTACTCCAGGTCAGCCATCAAGAGACTTCAGTTGGCTATCTTTGCACCTACTGTCTGCACCTCCCTAGAATACAACCTCAAAGTGTACTGCTTGGAAGACACACCGGACGCACTGAAGGTAACACTGCCTAAGTTTGGGGTCATAAGTAAGCAACCCCCCACTGTTACATTTTTCCTATCTCCAGCCCCCTTTTAGTACCTGTGAATTCACAAGAATTCATCATAGAGCAAATAATGAATAATCACTAAGCTATAAAAGTGCTTCTTTTTTATTGTTGTACAGCTTGTCACTCTCAGGCTCTCTCTCCTAAGACTGCAGGGAAAAGCCCTGATTAACTGTGAGCAAGTTCTGCTCCATGACAGGGGAAAGCAAACTAGCTTAGAGCCTGCCAGTCCCAACGGGCTAGCAACATAAATCTGTTCTTGTTAGTCCAGCACTAACGTTAGCCAATATATTCATCAGAGATTTTCAGGTGGCTTTTTCTGCTGCACTTGATCCAGATCTGATATAATCTCGAGGGCTTTGGAATCTTTCCACGAAGTTTCCTGAACTATGTTTTGAGTTGGTTACCAGCCCACTGGTTTGTTTGTCCTTGTGCATCCCTAAATATATAGGGCCAGGCCACCAGTTGGGGTAGATCAGCACAGCTCTGTTGACGGCAGTGGTTCACACCAGTTGTGAATCTGTCTTGCAGTAGTTGGTTAACATCAAATACATTGTGCATGTAAGTTTACTTATGAATTCTGCTCTTCCAACTGCCTGAGTCTCTGTGTTTGGGTTGCTAATTGCTTCAGCCTGCTCCTGCCGGTGCTTCCAGATGTGTGTGGTGTCTCTCGGAAAGGTCTGGCTCTGGGGAGCAAACAGCCTGATGCAACCCTGTGAAAAATGACCAAAGTTAAATAATAAGCATGTTTACTGTGTTCCCCAGAGATCAGCCATAACATTTTCCATGGTCCTTGGAGGGAATATCAAGGGGAAGAGGAGGATGTCTCATAGCCGATATTGTGTGCTTTCTTTCTGCAGAGATTGCACAAGGACTTTTGTTGTTGAGACTGAAGGAAGATTTTTCTTTCCTTCTTGTACTAATCAACCCTAATGTGAGATACGAGTTTAATACTCAGTTCACCATAGCTCCTATCATCCCTGGCTTAGACACATTTTCTTATTCCTACCCAAGAATTCCTTGTCTGTTTGTGGTATAATAATTGATCATAGTATTAAACTTAGTTTTTATAAATCATCGTTGTAGGTGCGTGGGGACCGTATGATAAAAGAATATGCTAGGAGCCAGCAAGTTTCCTTGAACTGAAAATAACTATCGTGATTTGTTACTGAAGCAACAGTGGTATTAACACAGATGGGCGCACACACTTATTATAATGCCCCACCTGTACATATTAATGAAATACAGACCTTCAGATTATCTGAAAAATAAGGCAGGTTCCAATGTCCAGAACAGTGTTTCTGCCTTCACTGTGTTGTAGAATCATATTCATTTTATATTACACTCAACAGCATTCTGTTCTCAGATTCTAAAATATCCATGAGGTGACTTATGAGGAGTCACAGTCTTCCATATTTAGGTTACTCAAATCCAAATCAGAATGGTGGTGACTGAAAGTCTCTATAAAATGGCCTCTATAAAATGAGTTGGTGGACTCAGTCCAGTTTCTGTTGAACAGGTGTCAGCATCACACAATGCACTATTATGGCTCCTTAGCGGAGAGGCCAAGAATGGAATGAGTGAGGAAAGTGAATTCCCACCTCCCTCTGAGCAGTGATCCTTTGAGTCAGGGGTTCAGTTATATTGCTCATACAGATTTGGGAAGCTTGAGCTGTTGTAATTCTTTGGATAAACGGGAGATCTTATTCTCCTGGACTGTCAACGTGGCACATTTCACCAGCAAAGAATTTATTTTTAGAAACATTTTGTTCATTGGGGTCTAGCTTAGCTAGAGTCTATGCTGTAGAATTAGAGGAAATTTCAAATGATGAGCCCTTTATCGGGGAAGTAGCTGAACCTGAAGAAGGCCATGGGGAAGTGCAGCAAAGGCATTGTTGTAATTCTTAAGAGCCATGCCATACCGTAGATATGCAGTTCCTTGTGTTTTGCTAATTACTGGAGTTAAATTTGGTATCATTCTTGTCATTTCCTCTCTGATTGGGTGGCTTGCATTGCAGCACCAACCACTATACATTGCGCAATATCTTCAACTAGCCTGAACTTGAAAGAACTTGAACTTTTGTTGTTGTTTTTTGGCTTTTTGTGAAATGTTTTGTGAGCAGAGTTCATTGAACAGAGTGGACCCTTCATTGACATAGTGCTGCATTAAAAGCTCAGGTGCTCCACTTTGATGTGACCTTTGATGTCATGGCTTCTTATCCTCTGTCTGCCCATAGGAAGCGCTGGAACTGGAAAAGACTCTGGGTGGCTATCTGATAGAGGAACCCAAGCCACTACTCTTTAAGGACAGTTATCACAACCTACGCCTCTCCATCCATGATATCCCCCACTCGCTGTGGAAGAGCAAGCTGCTGGCTAAATACCAGGTGGGTGGCCAAGTGGTAACAGGAGTCATTTGGAATTTTCATGTGTAGCAGTGCACTGGAATTTAAGCTACTACTGCAAAGAATGGGGGGAGAGGGCAGGATGGGGCAAAGTGATCCGAAAGTGCCCCCCAAAGGTAATAACAACAGCTATGGAAAATTATAGGTTGAACCTCTCTTAACTAGGACTCTCTGATACAGCAATGTCCTTGGTCCAGTAGGACCACAGATGTTCCTGGACCAGAGAGCCCCAGCAATTGGGAGTCTGATGGCAGAAGGGCTAGTAGCCTGCCAGGGCTGGGACCCCAGTTGAGCTGGTGGCACAGGGGTCAGTGGCCAGAAACCTCACCAGAAGGGGAGCTTAGGAGTGGGGGCCAGTGGTTTCAGGGGAGAGCCCGGAGGCCAGCCGCAGACAGCCCAGCATTGACCTCCCCTGGTGCAGCAAACTCCCAGGTTCGGGACCAGTGAGGTTCCAAGGGTGCGCAAAGAACACCCGTTCACATAGGAGCCTATGTGACACACACACACACTTTGTAATATCATATTAATATTCGAATGCCAGCAGCAATTCAGGGGTTGAAGTGAGTCTAGTTTATGTGATAAATGATCAGAAAGAGAGATGTGATCAGGCCCTGAGGGGGCGGGAGGTGGCAGTTGTCCTGGGGCCCAGCAATTCAGAAGGGTCCCAGAGCTCTTGGCTCTGCTACCACAGAAGCACCAGTGGCTGGAGCTCCAGGCCTTTTGAAACACTGCTGGACAGCCACGCAATGCACTCCGGGCAGCTCTGAGGGCTGCCAGAAGGGAGGGGGGAACCAATACAGTGCACTCCTGCCTGCGGTCCTGCCTTTTCAGGGGCATGGAGCCCCTCCGCTAACCTTGCCAGGAGGCCCAGCAAGTCTGTTGGGGCTCCTGTATGTGCTCATGCCTTTGATTATAAGTAAGCTAGGGATGTTAAAATTAGATTAATCAACTAATCAAATAGTCAATGGAATTTCCATCGACTATTCGATTAGTCAATAAGGGTGCTTCTGCTTTGAAATGTAGCAAGAGCCCACTGGGCTGTTGCTACATTTCCAAAGTGGATGTGCCATGCGGCGTTCTGCCTTTGAAATGTTTCAAAGATTGAAATGCTGCCCCGCTGGCCCCAAGCTCCATGTGTCTCTTCCGCTTTGAAATGTACAAGAGCCCCAGCCCCAGAAATATACTCTTGTATATTTCAAAGGTAGAATGCCACTGCTGCACCTCACTTTTAAGCCAGCTCCCCCAAGAACCTCTTCTTCTCCTCCCCCCACCCCTTCCTGCCTCTTTCTAATAGAAGCAGCAAGGGACAGAAGTGATTAATCAACTAGTGTGTCGATTCTCTGATAAGCTTTTGCTTGTCTGATAGTTGAGTAGCTGCTTACACCCCTAAAGTAAGCACTGTTCATACTATTGAGATCCAGGACCTTCCTTTCTCTCTCTCTCTTTTTTTTAATCTAATCAAGATTTAGGGCTTACCCATCTACCTGTGATTATCTGCTAAGAGAGTGACATATCACTCTGTGCTCTCAGGCTGTGGCGCTCAACTTTTCCAGACTACTGTAACCCTTTCAGAAGTCGGATTTGTCTTGTGTACCCCCTCATTTCACATCACTTAGAAAATACTTGCTTCCAAAGTCAGTCATACAAGTACAAAAATGACACTGAAAGTTACCATATAGCATAGCAATTACTATATAATTATAAAATAAATCAATTAGGGTATGTCTACACTACAAAGTTAATTCGAACTAACAGCCATTAGTTTGAATTAAGTTTGATAGGCGCTACACACGCGAACCGCTAGTTCAAACTTAATTCGAACTAGCGGAGTGCTTATTTCGAACTAGGTAAACCTCATTCCACGAGGACTAACGCCTAGTTCGAATTAAGGGCTGTGTAGCCACTTAATTCGAACTAGTGGGAGGCTAGCCCTCTCCAGCTTTCCCTGGTGGCCACTCTGGGCACCACCAGGGAAACTCTTCTGCCCCCCTCCCGGCCCCGGAGCCCTTAAGGGGCACGTGCTGGCTACGGTGCCCTTGCCAGGTGCAAGCCTGCCAGCACCCAGCCAGCAGACCCTGCACCTGGCCTGGCTCCAGCCAGCCCCCCCC